ACACACAATCAACACACAAGAAACGCACAATCAACACACAAGAAACGCACAATCAACACACAATCAACACACAATCAACACACAAGAAACGCACAATCAACACACAATCAAACACAACAAACAAACACACAATCAACACACAATCAACACAAAAACAACAATCAACAACAAGAACACAAATCAACACACAAGAAACGCACAATCAACACACAACACACACAACACACAAGAAACAATCAACACACAACAACACAATCAAACACAAGACGCACAATCAACACACAATAAACACACAATCAACACACAAGAAACGCACAATCAACACACAACAACACGCACAACAACACACATCAACACACACACACAACATCAACACACAAGAAACGCACAATCAACGCACAATCTCAACACACAGCACGCACAATCAACACACAATCAACGCACAAGAAACGCACAATCAACACACAATCAACACATAATAAACACACAATCAACGCACAATCAATGCACAATCAGCACACAATCAGCACACAAACACACACAAACACACACAGCAGAAGTCACTTTGGAACAGTTTGAAACGTCTCAGATTCTTTCAGAGTGAAGCCGCTTTAAAAACAAACGTCCCACTGGATCCACAAGTGTCTGGGTTTGTTTGGGTTTGTTTGGTGTGAAAGTTTCAGTCGCATGTGAAATCAAACAGACTGAGACCTGAAACCACATACTCTGCGCTCTGCTCCTTCGACGACTGAAACAATGAGCTCTGCTCCTTCGACGACTGAAACGATGAGCTCTGCTTTCAACGACTGAAACGACGCGCTCTGCTCCTTCGACGACTGAAACGATGAGCTCTGCTCCTTCGACGACTGAAACGATGAGCTCTGCGCTTTCAACGACTGAAACGACGCGCTCTGCTCCTTCGACGACTGAAACGATGAGCTCTGCGCTTTCAACGACTGAAACGACGCGCTCTGCTCCTTCGACGACTGAAACGACGAGCTCTGCGCCTTCGACAACTGAAATGACGCACTCTGCGCCTTCGACGACTGATACGACACAATAGACACCTTCAGCGACTGAAACGACACACTCAACGCCTTCGACGACTAAAACGATGCCCTCAATGCCTTCGACAACTGAAACGACTCGTTCTGCGCCTTCAACGACTGAAATGACTGAAACGACTGAAACGACGCGCTCATTCTTCTCAGTCACTCTGATGTTCTGACAGAACTCCAGGTGTTTAGTTAGCATTAGCTGATATTTGGTGAGTGACAGGTGAGTGACAGGGTGAAAGATAGTCTTAGTTGTGACTCTTAGAGGGCGTCACTCGCCCAGAGGTAGTGCGTCTTGTGTCTATTATGTCTGTATTTAAATGTTGAGTCTGATCTGATTCCGCACTAGTAAGGGTCGGTTTTTCCTCTGGCGTACATTAGTTACTTTGCCTATCAACACTCTTTGTTTTCTTGCGTTTGTCTCTTCACTATCTGATATATCAGTTCTCTCCTACTACTAGCCTAATTCACTATCGTGGCTAATTTCCTTATAGCTTTACTCAGTGTTACTAATTTCCGTTTGGTCTCGAAATCACCCACTTGGCCACATAAATTATGCATGTCACTTTGCCGTTGTGCGGTCGTGGATCATTGCTGGTGGTGCACTCATTCTGTTTACGTTCTTATTCCTGTATGACGGGTCATCATAAGTGTAAGATCAAACTCCTGGTTCAAATCCCTGCTGTTCACTCGGGTTCCTGCGCTTTATTGTCACCCATTATTATTTAATGTTTATTTTAAGCTTGTTGGTTCTGATACGTCGATTCCTTGCGTATCTTTTCGATGGCGTCGAGACCACATGCCTCGTTTGCTTTGCTTAACGCAAGCCTGCTGGGTTGGATCGCGATGTGGGTCTATGTCGTTGGTCCTTTCCCACGCTTGTTAATCCATCGGCCATCGGTACTTTCGTATTTGTAGTGCTTCGCTGTTTTGTGTCCATCTATCAGTTATTCATATCGCCGAGCAGTTGCTTCTGGGTTAGAATACTTGAATTTCATTGCCCGATTGCATTTGGGAGCTACCCTCGTTGACACGAACTGTTCTACCGCAATCTTTAGTCTCCCATGATGTTTATTCAGTCGCTTTGAAGTCCCCTACCTGATGCTTGTTTTCGTCTGCTGCTCAGTTATGACACATCGGTTTTCTCGTCCTATTCTAACTATCTTAGCCCATTTTTTCAAAACGGTACCTTAATTGGATGGACCTGTGATCGCCACGCTCCCTGCGTTTTTAATCAAGTCCCCTTTTCCAATGCGCTGATTCGTTATCCTGGGCAACTTTTTATTTTAGTTGTGCTTTCCATGAAATTTGTAGCACTTACTGTTAGTCATTAAATCTTCTTTATCATCTTGTGCGATGATTGACCCTTTGAATGGACCTGTGCAGGTAATGATACTTTGGTTCCTTTTACTCGTACGATATCTCTTGCTATTCTTCATTCTGACGCACATTGCTATATCCCTTGGCTGATCAACTTTTTTTTCGCATCCCTGGCTCTCGGATTGTAGTCGTCACTTAACATTCATGCCTGAAGCTGATAGGATCTGTTGTCTATCCAATCGGACCTGAGGTTGGTTATTAGCAATCTAGTGTCCAGTGTCTTGATTTGGATCTCCAGCTTTCACTTTTCTTGTGTACCGGTTCGGCGGCTACCAGGTATATCATAGTATTAACTGTGATCTACGTTTTGCCCTGGCTTCTTAAAAGTTCGCGCTGCGCTTTTGACGATGAGTCAATTAGAAATTTTTTAATTAAATCACCTCGTAGGCGGCCGCTTCTTTGGAGTACCGCGTTTTCTCGTTTGAACAGTTACGTGTCACTACTTTCTACGACCCCATCGCTACATCTCTCGCACTGTTCCGAGATTTTAATGTCGCTGTGTGGCTACGTCAGAGTGGCGTCTCTTCCTTTATTTGTGGACTTGTTTTTATGTAACTCGTATTTCTCCTCTTTACCCAAGCTTCCCGTTTGTTGTAATCGTAATTCGTTACGCGGTGCTAGCTGAACCCTGAAGAAGTAGTCGGGGGTTGTAATCAATCCCCTAACGCTCGGTTTAATTCTTCGCTGATGTATGTTCTGTTTTAGTTGCTCATTCCATCACGATTTCTTTTCTGCTCTGCACACTTTATCTATAGACATCGGTTTCTATTTTAATCTGCGTACATTTCTATTTCTTATACGCGCCCTGGAATTCTGGTGTGTTATATGTGACTCAATCGGTATATTGTAAGGATTGCTCCCATCTTTCACGCTCACCTGTTCCCTATTTTTACTTATTACTGGCGTTTTCTCCTGATTTTTTCAAGTTCGGTTTCACTCGCCGTCTTTATCCAGTGGACAGTGATATACGAATTTTTACGCTTCCCTCGTCCTGCCCTTATCATGAAAACGTGTTTGGCAGGCACCGCGTTTGTTTGTGTTTAGTCTTGATGTTTTTTCTTCTGCGCTCGCTGACTTCCGTCTCGTATGCATGAGTGTAGTTTACTGAGCTTGACGTTTACGCTACTTCTGATTGGTTGTGATTTCAATCTTTCGGGCACAGGATTTATTGTTACCTGATGTCTTTCCTTTGCAGTTTCTTCTCATGTGTTCCCTTCCTCTTACTTTTTTCCATTATTATTTTTTACCTTTCTGTCCGGCTTCTGTATCTTTATGACTTCATCTGTACTCTCATCCTCGTAGTTGTTCTTTTTTACGCACAATCGACCGTGAATTAATAAGCTCGTGATCAGACGTTTCGTTGTACTTTCCGCGCTATTTCTTAGTTGAATATGATCACAGTGTGACGTGACATAATTTGCGTCCTTTTGAAAACGGGCAGAGTGACAGTTTTTTTTTGATGACAGACTCTTTTGTTGAGTGACAGCCACAGCCAGTTTGGAATGACAGGAATGAGAGTGACAGTAGGGTGAATGACAGCTCTTGTGAAAATTAGTGACCAGTGCGAGTGACGGCTGAGTGACACAGGTCAGGTGCAGTAGTTTGACGAGAGCGGGGCGAGTGATAACTAGAGTGAAGACAGCCGTTGGTGGATAACAGGTGAGTGACAGGTGAGTGATAACAGGTGAATACAGTTGAGTGACAGTGTGAATGACAGGTGATTCGAGTGACGGATGCGCAGGTAGACAGTGAGTGGACGGGCAGAGTAGATCAGTTGTCGTGACTCTAGCCTGTCACTTCACGTCACATCACCTGTCACTCTGCCTTTGTCACTCATGCCTTGATTTCATAGACAGTTTGATATCGACCAGGCTGTCCGACTCTGACCCTGTCCAGCTCACCTGTCATCTCAGTTTGAAGCTTGCTTAACAGAAGTGGTACGTTGGCCAGGTCCACTCGCCTGGTGTCAGCTTACCTAACAGGTGCACTCACCGTGACATACAGTCGTGTGGACAACCAGTGTGAGAGTTACAGTACCGTTGTGCAGGCTCACTATGACAGCGTGAGTGACTGGTGCATTTCACTGCGAGTGACAGCTTTGGTGTCACTCACCTGTCCCGCTCACTGTCAACTTTCACCGGTCACTCGCCCGTCACTCGCTCACTGTCACTACACAGTTGACAGTGTGAGATGACATGATCACAGTCTGACGTAAGTGGATCACAGCTCGTGACTAATTGTGTTACGATCGATCTCACTTTGTGCACTCAGATGGATCGAGTCACTCGGCCTGTCCGCAACTACACTGACTCACCTGTCAACCTGTGTCACAGTCGATCCAAACCCGGTGATCTACCGAGGGCGCAGCGGACACGTTGAGTGACAGGGTGAGTGACAGGTGAGTGACAGGTGAATGACAGGTGAAGGACAGGGAGAGTGAAGGTGAGTGACAGGTGAGTGACAGGTGAGTGACAGGCGATAGTGACGGGCGAGTGAAGGTTGAGTGGACAAGGTGAGTGACGGTGAGTGAAGGTGAATGGACAGGTGAGTGACGGCGAGTGACCAGGTGAAATGACAGGTGAGTGACAGGTGAGTGACAGGTGAGTGAGGGGCAAGTGACAGGTGAGTGACAGTTGAGTGAGTGAGTGACAGGTGTGACAGGTGAAGTGACAGGTGAGTGACAGGTGAATACAGGTGTGACAGGTGCCCAGGGCGTCCAGGGGCCCCAGACACGCCCACTGCTTCAGGAGCCCGTAGATCTCGGGCAGACAGGCCCACTGCCAGCAGGGGGCGCTGCTCAGGACCAGGGGCAGGGCACAGCTCTGCGCCTGACAGAAGGAACGTTTCTCCCACAGCAGACGCTTGTCCTCCGGAGTCAACCTGCGGAAAAACGCGCACACACCCACTAATGCAGTAGGAGGAGTAGTAGTAGTAGTATTTGTAGTATTTGCAGTAGTATTTGCAGTATCCTTACCAGAAGGCCGCCCTCTTGTGGAGCACTTCCTGTAGTTGTTTCTGCGACGCTGAGTCCAGACGGTTAAAGTCGTACTGAGGACAGAACTGAGCCGGAGCCGGAGTCGAGAAGTGCACCTCGAATGCAGACGTGGGGAAGTCCACCTTAAAACACAAACAGACCACCTTAAAACACAGACGGACCACCTTAAAACACAAACAGTCCACCTTAAAACACAGACGGACCACCTTAAAACACAACGGACCACCTTAAAACACAAACAATCCACCTTAAAACACAGACGGACCACCTTTAAACACAGACAGTCCACCTTAAAACACAGACGGACCACCTTAAAACACAAACGGACCACCTTAAAACACAAACAATCCACCTTAAAACACAGACGGTCCACCTTAAAACACAGACGGACCACCTTAAAACACAGATCGAACACCTTAAAACACAAACGGACCACCTTAAAACACAAACAGTCCACCATAAAACAAACAGAACACCTTAAAACACAAACAGTCCACCTTAAAACACAGACGGAACACCTTAAAACACAGACTCACCTTAAAACAGTCCACCTTAAAACACAGACGGTCCACCTTAAAACACAGACGGTCCACCTTAAAAACACAGACGGTCCACCTTTTAACACAAGACGGTCCACCTTAAACACAAAACAATCACCTTAAAACACAGACGCGTCCACCCTTAAAACACAGACGGACCCACCTTTAAAACAGATCGAACACCTTAAAACAACGGACCACCTTAAAACACAAACGTTCCACCATAAAACAACAGAACACCTTAAAAACACAAACAGTCCACCTTAAAAACACAACAGTCCACTTAAAACACAGACGGCCACCTTAAAACACAGACAGTCACCCTTAAAACACAACGACCACCTTTAAAACACAGCGGTCCCTTAAAACACAGACGGTCCACCTAAAACAGACGGTCCACCCTTTAAAACACAGACGGTCCACCTTAAAAACGACGGTCCCACTCCTTTAAACACGACGGTCCACTTAAAACACAGACGGACCACCTTAAAACACAGACGGACACCCTTAAACACAAGGACGGTTCCACCTTAAACCACAGACGTCCACCTTAAACACAACAGTCCACCCATAAACAACATAACACCTTAAAACACAAAAGTACAACCTTAAAACACAAACAGACACCTTAAAACACAACAGTTCCACCTTAAACACAAACGGGACCACCTTAAAACACAAACAATCCACCTTAAAACACAGGACGGTCACCTTAAACGAAAACAGTCCACCTTAAAACGCAAAACAGTCCACCTTAAAACACAAACAGACCACCTTAAATCACAGACAGACCACCTTAAAACACAAACAGGTCCACCTTAAAACCAGACGGACCACCTTTAAAACACAAACCACCACCTTAAACACAGACGGAAACCACCTTAAAACAAAGACGGACCCACCTTAAACACAGCGACCACCTTAAAAACACAAGAGACCACCTTAAAACACAACCACCTTAAAACACAAACAACCATCCACTTAAAACACAGACGACCCCTTAAAACACAAACAGTCCACCTTAAAACACAGACGGACCACCTTAAAACAAGACGGACTTAAAACATTAAAACACAGACGACCACCTTAAAACACAGACGGTCCACCTTAAAACACAGACGGTCCACCTTAAAACACAGACGGACCACCTTAAAACAAAGACGTAAAACACAGACGGAAAAAACACAGACCAACACCTTTTAAAACACAAACAGTCCACCATAAAACAAACAGAACACCTTAAAACACAAACAGTCCACCTTAAAACACAGACGGAACACCTTAAAACACAGACAGTCCACCTTAAAACACAGGACAGTCACCTTAAACACAGACAGACCACCTTAAAACACAGACAGGCCACAAACACGCTCACCTGTCGTACACCTGTCGTACACCTGTCATACACTCACCTCACCTGTCGTCGTACACTCACCTGTTGTACACCTGTCATACACTACCTGTCGTACACTCACCTGTCGTACACTCACCTGTTGTACACCTGTCGTACACTCACCTGTCGTACACTCACCTGTCATACACCTGTCATACACTCACCTGTCGTACACCTGTGTACACTCTGTCATACACTCACCTGTCGTACACTCACCTGTCGTACACCTGTCGTACACCTGTCGTACACCTGTCATACACCTGTCATACACCTGTCGTACACTCACCTGTCGTACACCTGTCCACTCACCACACCTGTCGTACACCTGTCATACACCTGTCATACACCTGTCGTACACCTGTCGGTACACTCACCTGTCGTACACTCACCTGTCGTACACCTGTCGTACACCTGTCGTACACCCACCTGTCGTACACTCACCTGTCGTACACCTGTCGTACACCTGTCATACACCTGTCATACATCTGTCATACACTCACCTGTCGTACACCTGTCGTACACTCACCTGTCGTACACCTGTCGTACACTCACCTGTCGTACACCTGTCGTACACTCACCTGTAGGATGACGGCGTCTGGTTGGTTGAAGTTCGGGGAGCTGGAGCTCGACGGCCACAGACCCAGAAGTTTACGCCCACAAGTCAGAACACTGTAAAACAAAAACCAGAACTAAACCAGGACTGAACCAGGACTGAACCAGGACTAAACCAGGACTGAACCAGGACTGAACCAGGACTGACTGACCTGAACCAGACTGAACCAGACTAAACCAGGACTGAACAGGACTGAACCAGGACTAAACCAGGACTGAACCAGGACTAAAGCAGGACTGAACCAGGACTGAACCAGGACTGAACCAGGTCTGGAGCAGGTCTGGAGCAGGACTCACTGTCTGAAGTTGAAGAGGGGGGTGCAGACGGAGCCGAGGGCGACGCTGCGTCTCACTTTGTTCTTGTCGTCGGTTCCTCCGGGTGGAGGCAGAGCGCTGGCGAACAGAGTCACCGTCAACACCGACTCACGAGGAAGTTGGTTTATCTGCACCGGGAAACACACCCTGAACAACAAGAGACCGGGTCAGGACCGGGACAGGACCGGGTCAGGACCGGGACAGGACCGGGACAGGACCGGGTCAGGACCGGGACAGGACCGGGACAGGGGGACGGACCGGGGCAGGACCGGGGCAGGACCGGGACTGGACCGGGGCGGGACCGGGACGGGGCAGACCGGGGCAGGACCGGGGCTGGACCGGGGCAGGACCGGGGCCGGACCGGGGCACAGGTTCAGTCGATATCACAGTTTGTTCTATAAATGTAATAAAAACATTTCCTGGACACTGTGACCCAAAACCTCACACCTGGACTCTGGACTCTGGACCAGAATCTGGACTCTGGTCTAGACTCTGGTCGAGACTCTGGACTCTGAACTAGCATCTGGACTCTGGACTCGATTCTGGCCTGTGGTCTGGTCTGTGGTCTATGGATTGTGGTCTGTGGTCTGGACTCTGGTCTGTGGTCTAGTCTGTAGTCCGGTCTGTAGTCCGATCTGTGGTCCGGTCTGTAGTCCGATCTGTGGTCCGGTCTGTAGTCCGGTCTGTAGTCCGGTCTGTAGTCTGGTCTGTGGTCTGGTCTGTGGTCTGGTCTGTGGTCTGGTCTGGTCTGGTCTGTGGGTCTGTGTCTCTGTGGTCTGTGGTCTGTCTGGGTCTGGTCTGTAGTCCGGTTTATGTCTCTGTGGTCTGTAGTCTGTGTCTGTCTGGTCTGTGTCTGTGGTCTGGTCTGTGGTCAGTCTGTGGTCTGTCTGGTCTGGTCGTCTGGTCCGGTTGTATGGTCTGGGTCTGGTCTGGTCTGGTCTGGGTCAGGTCTGTGTCTGTGGTCCGGTCTGTGGTCTGGTCTGTGGTCTGTAGTCCAGTCTGTGGTCTGGTCTGTAGTCCGGTTTATGGTCAGGTCTGTGATCCGGTCTGTAGTCCGGTCTGTGGACTGACCTGTGGTCCCAGGTGACCAGGTGGAACAGGTACTTGGAGACGTTGTGTCTGGTCGTGTGTTGGGGGGCGCAGAGCTCAGAGCCTCCGTGAGTCACAGAACACGACAGAAAGAAACTCTCGAAACTGAAACACAACGACGACAATCAACGACACACACGGACCCTGACACACACCACACGGACCCTGACACACACCACATACACACAGACCCTGACACACAGCACACGGACCCTGACACACACCACACAGACCCTGACACACACCACACAGACCCTGACACACACACACGCCGCACGGACCCTGACACACACCACACGCACCACACGGACCCTGACACACACACCACACGAGAGAGACCCTGACACACACACACACGAGAGGGACCCTGACACACACACACACGGAGGGGACCTAACACACACGAGAAAGACCTGACACACACACACACACACGGAGGGGACCTAACACACACGAGAAAGACCTGACACACACACACACACGGAGGGGACCTAACACACACAAGAAAGACCTGACACACACGAGAGGGACCCTGACACACACACGGAGGGGACCTAACACACACGAGAAAGACCTGACACACACGAGAGGGACCTGACACACACACACGAGGGACCCTGACACACACACACACGAGAGGGACCCTGACACACACACACACACACACAAGAGGGACCCTGACACACACACACACGAGAGAGACCCTGACACACACACACGAGGGGGACCCTGATACACACGAGAGGGACCTGACACACACACACAGGAGAGGGACCTGACACACACACACACGAGAGGGACCTGAACACACACACACACACATGAGAGGGACCCTGACACACACACACACGAGAGAGACCCTGACACACACACATAAGAGGGACCCTGACACACACGAGAGGGACTTGACACACACACACACGAGAGGGACCTGACACACACACATGAGAGGGACCCTGACACACACGAGAGGGACCCTGACATACACACACGGGGAGGAGACCTGACACACACACGGGGAGGGGACCTGACACACACACACACTGGGAGGGGACCTGACACACACGGGGAGGGGACCTGACACACAGCAGTAGGTTACATAAGTCCTGTGTTTGTGTCTCTTGATGTTTCTGAGCCGATTTGAATAAATTTAAATAAATTTGAATAAATTTGTGTTTCTATAAAATCCCGAGGAGACAAGGAGAGAGGAGAGAAGGAGAGAGGAGACAAGGAGAGAGGAGAGAGGAGACAAGGAGAGAGGAGAGAGGAGACGAGGAGAGAGAGGAGAGACAAGGAGAGAGGAGGAGACAAGGAGAGAGGAGACAAGGAGCGAGGAGAGCAGGAGAGAAGGAGAGAGGGGAGAGGAGACAAGGAGAGAGGAGACAAGGAGAGAGGAGAGAAGGAGACAACGAGAGAGGAGAGAAGGAGAGAGGAGACAAGGAGAGAGGAGACAAGGAGAGAGGAGAGAAGGAGAGAAGGAGAAAGAAGACAAGGAGAGAGGAGAGAAGGAGAGAAGAGAGAAGGAGAGAGGAGAGAGAGGAGAGAGGAGAGAGAGAGAAGGAGAGAGGAGAGAAGGAGAGAAGGAGAGAAGGAGACAAGGAGAGAGGAGAGAAGGAGAGAGGAGAGAGAGGAGGAGAGGAGAGAAGAGAGGAAGTGAAGGAGAGAGGAGAGAGGAGAGAGGAGAGAAGAGAGGCGCAGATTATTTTAATTATTTTAATAATTCGCATCCAAATCTTAGGGTCAAAAACAAAAATGTACGTTTAACTTTTGCAAAACAAAATGGCTATATTTAAGGCATACATCTTAAATAGACTAAATTATCTTAAAGTTTTAAAAAAACTGTGATGAGACCACCTCTTTACTCTAGAAACCACGTTTGTTCAGAATCACTGTTGAAGTGTCGAGAAATAATTTATCGACCGACGCGTCAGTTTTTAGACCCTTCGTCTGCTTCAGTCGCGCCGTCGCTGGAAGGAATCTCCAAGAATCTCCTCAGTTTGTCTTTGCTCCTTTTCTCCTTCTCTTCTTCTTTCGGCGACCTCAAAAAACCGAATTTCTTTTGCGGCGAAACTGGTCGTGGATTCTCGTCCGACGTCGCGACAAACTTTGTGCGAATTGCGAGGAAGCGACAGTTTAAAAAAGCCTCTAAGAACCGCCGCATAAACCACGAAATCCCCGTCACTTACACTAGAAACGTAGGGAGTTTGATTGACGACCCGACAGCCAATAGAAAATGAGGGAGCCTCGTTTTCTATTGGCTGATGTTTATCTGGCCTCAACACGTCCACACTTGATGGATTTTCATTCTTTTTTTTTTTTTGGTCATAATTACAAGGCTGCTGTGTCTCCGTAATGGTATTTTAAACTTTCGTTGACAATTTGAAACAAAAAAAAATAAATCCTCCATACAACCTTTAAATCAACTGAGCGACACGACACAGAAACATCACCAGACGAAGAGGAAGACACAGGGAGCAGTCCAAACTTTTTATGTTGTTGTTTTTTCAGGCCTCGCAAGTGGCCGCTCTTCTGTTTTTGTTTTTTTGTTCAGGCCTCATAAAATGGCCGCTCTTCTGTTGTTGTTTTTTTTTGTTTTTTTTTTTCAGGCCTTGCAAAATGACCGCTCTTCTGTTTTTTTGTTTTTAGTTTTTTTTTGTTTTGCAGTTTTTTTGTTCAGGCCTCATAAAATGGCCGCTCTTCTGTTTTGTTTTTTTTGTTTTGTTGTGTGACTCGTACAGACTCTGTGGACTGCTTGAGCATGTGGGCGGAGCCTCGTACAGATTCGTACTGTGTGAGCATGTGGGTGGAGCCTCGTACAGACTCTGTGGACTGTGTGAGCATATGGGCGGAGCCTCGTACAGATTTGTGCTGTGGAGCCTCGCACTGTTAACCGTGTGGGGGGGTTACCTGGCGGCCCAGGTGATGGGCACGCGGTGGGCGGCGTACACGTTGAAGGAGAGCAGCGTGGAGACGAGCCCCGCCTCCTGCACGGGCGCCGCGGCAACAAGACTCTGAGAGCTCGGCTGGAAGTTCGCGTTAAAAGTTCCACAATACAAATGTACCAGCTCCAAGATGGACGCCGTCAACTTCTCCACCACCAACTCTGAAAAACACAACCAGGA